TCAAGGAATACTGAACCGCAAACAGGATTTCGCGAAATAAGGCCACAGAAGCGTTGAACGGGATGGTACGAACTCCAAAACATCACTCATACATCGATATCTTAAGCGGATTGCCGTATTTTTTGGAAAAGAAGGGCGCTATCAAGCGAGGACTCTGACTTCACGATCCTCCTGGAACAGTCGAGAATGAGGGGAAGCGGGTTTGCTTCTCTCCTCCTCGCTTCGGTTCACCTGCTTGAGGGGACGAAGCGAACAAGAGAGAGAATAAAAATCGTGACGTCACATCATGACGTCACGATAACGTGACGTCGGCCTCGTCGGCCGTGTTCAATCGCGCATTTCTTTTCCAAATATGCGGCCATCCGTTAGAGATATCGCAGTATGAGTGGTGCTTTTTGGTTATGCAGAGTCCCGCTTTTCTTTCCAGCCCCATTTTGTGAGCTCGAAATTTCGGTTCAGTATCCCTTTAAAGCTGCCAGACACTCTAAGGAATCTTAATCGTCTGCTTCCTGCAGAACACTCGGAAGAACGAATCCCTCTAATCTCGGCGAATGACGAGGCTAATAATACACTTGCACCTAAAAGAAAACAAAAATGAATAAACTCTCTGCGTCGGGGCACTGAGCATGTTGAAACAGTACCACATGACAGGCAGTGTGTAGTAACTGTTGAGCCCACCTCTTTTGTGTATACCAATTATCTCCTTGTCTTGCTTAGCTCGCATAAAGCGGAGTTCTAACGATTGGCACCCACAAATACATTAACTCACGTTAGTGCGGAACTTCTGAATTGTAGCGCATGTTGCGTCTTTTTTTTTTTTTAGGAATATCCGTTAGACAATAATTACAGAAAAAAATATATATATAATTTCTAAATACCGTGTGAATGCCCTTAGTTTTTTTGTTTTTTTTCATTCTTAAGTGTAATTCACTTTCAATATTCTCACCACCATATTTATTTTATTTGACGGCGCTAGTAAAAAAACCGCAACTCTTTTTCTGAACGAGTTGTTCTTTTTCCTGTATATTTTTTTTTTTTTTTTTTTAGATAGCGTCACACAATGTCGTCGCATTCATGTATCCTTTGTGGCGCACTTTACGCATACAATATAATGCTCACCTATTGAACGTAGTCGACGCTTTTAATTTATAAACGTTATGCTAAAACAGGGAAACATTAGCTTTCTTTTTTTTTTTTAACAGATGTCTGGGTTGACGCGTCACGCATCGAAATCTTTAGAGGGAACTCGAATTCCCCCAGTATATAAGTTGTTTTGCTCACTTCCGTCGATAATAATCTAAACCTAAACGAGACTTCTGAGCTTTAGTCAAATTCAGGGACTCCACAAAATAATGGGCCGCCCATAACCCCAGATATACAAGAGGCATCCTTATCTACAGCTCCTAAAATTCTCGTTTGTGTGTGTGTGCGTGTGCGTGTGTGTGTAAGCGTTGTATTCAAAAGTTATATTTAATATCGTTCGGCTGATGCCATAATTCGTGCATATAAACGAATTTCCAGAAATATCAGGAGCCACCTTAGAATCTCAGAAGATAAAATTGGAAGTATTCCACTCCCGAACGTTCAAAAAACGCATCAAGCCAAAGAAGGTGAGACACAGAATAACGGAAGGCAATCCGAGCACTAAAATATTTAATAATGAAGCAGACAGCTGTGGGCAACTTGGCACAAAATGATGATATCATCTCTAAAAAAAATATGCACTCTGACGTCTTTCGGCGCGTTCGCTTTTTGCGCTGTCCTTGCGCTTCTCTTGACCGCTTTCTCCTCATGCATAAACGCCCTGAAAAATCACCCCCGTGAGAAGCATGCGCGACAAGCACTCGGCGATCTACTTCTCAAAGAAGGACTTCGCTTGTCGCGTGAAGCGGCTTGCATCACCAACGCCTCGAAGATGTCTCATTGATCATAGGAGCTTGGCAACCTTGCGTACATGTCACGGTGCTCCGAGGCCGATATTCTGCCCTCGCGTTTTCTTTGAGTGGAAAAACCTGCATCTATCTACCTGGCCCCTTTTTTTTTTTCTTTCTCTCTCCACCTCTTGTTTATTTTCTTAACTCTGTCTAGTTCAGAAAATAAAGGTATAAAGTACGTTAAAAAATAATCAGCCAACGAGCCACGACCTATATAATGGCATTATATGTATTCCATCTAAACTTTTTTTTTGTTGCTTGTTTCTGAAAAAAAAGACTGCTAACTTGACCCAAACGCTGCTGTGGATGGCTCGTTCGAACTCAAACTTATCAAAATATCCAACTCTTTTAAGTCTCTAATTGCTTTCCAAGGCATCGCCAATTAGATAAATCGTCCACTGAACTTCCTTGATTTCCACGTGTGCTTATTAACGCTTACACAGTGTAGCAACGTGCTTTGTTACTGCACACTTTGTTATAAAAGGCCACTGCTGGGACACTTAAGGATAAACACATTAAATAAATAATGTCGGCAGCTAGACCCGTCAAAATTGCAACTTTCGTACAAACACAATGGCCGGCTTTCATTGTATCTTTCAAAACCGAAAATTATGTAATATTGCGTTACTTTTGTGTATGCTCAGTAAGGATCGGGAAAAAATCAAATCGATCAAGCGTGTGTATCAAACTAGACAGTTCATTCACCTTTTCTAAGGCGCTTTCCGTTGCCTTTAGCCGCATAACAAGCGGTGTACGAGTCTTTCATGTTGAGCCAGTGGGAATCACGTAGACCGAATTAACGCCACTAGGTTGATAAACTCACCGAATCAATTAACCGACATTTGCATGCAGACCACACATCTTATCATAGACTCAATCTAAACATAGCAATCTGGTACCCATTTTCCGTCACGGCGAAGCGAAGTTCGCATTCAAAGTGTAGCCGTCTCGACTGCGCCCGTCTTCTGTTTAATTTCACGCCGCATGCACACCGCCGTGTTACAGTTATCAAAGACACTTCAAGTTCGAGACGTAGCAAAAGCCGGTCTTATAGTGTGCCTGTACAGGTCAAGAATCGACGACACGTGAGTCCCAAGCCACGTAAACTTCTTACCCTCGGGGGGGGGGGGGGGGGGGGGGGGGGGGGGGCTTTTCTTTATCGGTGGTCCCGTTCGTGCGACGCACCAATGAACCCTGCGCAACAAGAGTCTTGCGGTCGAAAGGCCGAGGAAAGTGGAGGCTCTGCTGAGTTTCTATATTATTGCAAAGCGATCGGTTGCGTACGTGTGTGACATTTATCGTCGGCCATATCTTTTCGCGCTTCTTCTGCGTGTGGTCTCCCCGATTTCGTGCTTATTTCTAGATACTTCTGGCGAACCGTTACAGGTCGTTGAGCGCGAAACGCCGATAGCATCGCTAAATGGGCTGCCGTTGCATGTTTCAGCGAAAGGCTGGGGAAGTACGTGTGACAACACATGGCCGTGCCACATAATGCTGCTGTATACTTTCCAAAATACGTTTTGTTTGGAAAGCTTTCTTGTGCGACGCCACTTTGAACGGTATTTGCCTTTTACGACGACAGCCGTTCTTGTCTTCTTGACGAGGTTTTACAGCAGATCCTGCAGGGTCTGTTTGGTTCACGGTGTACGGTGTACACTTGGACGTCACGTGATATTGTGACGTAACAAGACGTTCTATGACCATGCGATGTCACAGTCATATAACGCCACAGTACCACGGAGTGCATTTTTGTTAGATGGTCAGTACTGAAATTTGGAGTTTCATTTTACTGCATTCCTGTGTCTTTTAAGAATTCAAAAACAAAATAAATAAAGTCCGGGTACCATGACCGTTGACTTGAAGGAACCTTGACGACCTAAAAGGCGAACACTTTTTGTCTGTAGTTCGAGATTTCAAAGGAAGGTGACGTAGCCTCTGCTCAGGACCACTGACCCTGTGCTCTTGAAAAGTTCATTTGTGATACACTGTCTTTTTTCTTTTTTCTTTTTTATTTTGTCTTAGTGAGCTCGAAATCCTCAGTCTTTCGGATAAATGCGATATGACAAAATATTTAGCAGCGAGTGTTTCTCTGATTTTTTTTTTTTCGGATATATTCGAAAACACCGAACCTTACACATGATGCATGCCATGTGATGTCACACTTTTTCTCCAATTTAGTTGAGAAAATATGACGTCACATTAAAATGTAATTTATGCCCCTTTGCCAGATTTTGACTGGTGGTGGAAAAAGTATAGGTTGAAACAGTCTACAGCGCCTTGGAAGATTTACTTTTACGAATATTTTTTTATACTGCGATCCACTTCGCCGCCGATGCACTGAGCTACAATTTTCCACGCCCATAGTTTCTGGTACAGTTCAGAAGTTATAAACTCCAATATCCTTCCCCCAATCGAGGCTTGGCAATCTGAAAATTGTTGCTTTGGGACCCCCTGTAGAACTTCCTTTGTACTTTCATTTGCTTTATTCTAAAGTGATATTCTCATATGTAGATAAAACATTTATTAAACTAGCCTTAAAAAAGCGGCTACCAAAAGTGACACTTAAGTAAATTCCTCAACCCCATGATAATCCATGTCCTTACGCTCCTTTTGTTTGTGTTTTTTTTAATTGTTATCTTGCTTTTTTACAAATTTTTACTAACACTTCGGGTCTTGGTGATGAGAGTTTAATTTGTCCGTGAAGGTTAATACGCGATCTGAACCATTGTGATTACGTTTTTAGAAAGATGTTCTCACTAGGATTGCTACGTCCTTGCACAAATACAGTACTGTTTTGTAACATTTTTTCTTTCTTTCCTTCAAGAGTTCAGATTTTTTCAGTTGTAAATTATCTGGATGTGTTAAAAATTGTTCACGCGAAATTATATACAAATTATTGAGAAAAATAGTGACCCACTTCCGCGTCCAACGTTTACAAGAATTCAGTCATTGTCTGAGTGTGGAAAATGTTTATTGAAGCATAATCTTCCGAAGATATTCAATCATCATTACTCAAAAGGAACTGTTTCACTTCAAATCAAATCAAAGTAATCATAGTGCTATAGCTCATCCAAACGCACTACCAAGTATGTTCAGATGTGACAGTCCCCCCTGCCGCACGTATGGAAATGTGAGAATGCTGCAGCTTCCGCTGTAGCAATAGCCCCCTTGATACCTGTAGCCAGTCTGAAAAGCAAAATAAACGCTTTAATTCGTATGTAAAATATAACTAACAAAGCTAGACCTTCAGTGTCCCAAAATTTATTTTCTGTGCGTGGCAATGTCTCCGTTAACTAAGCTTCCATTTCATGTCCTGTAATGCAATTACATATTTCTTTAGCTGACTAGTGACCATGATTTCTAAATCAATTTTGGTGCTAATGTAAGGATAGGAAGCCGGTATGTAGAATTTCTCCTCATGGTTACATGCAATAGTTCCGAAATACTACCCTGGATAATTACATAGTGCGTTTGATTTCTTTCTCAATACACTGCTAATTCAATTCTATTTTTATCAATACGCGTGAAAATACGTAAATTACATGAGTAAATAAAGGTGTTACGTATTTGCAATTTTCCAGCGCCTTGATTTTTACAGGAGATGCTGAACACCTGAAACTTCTCACCTGTTGTGCCGGTAATTCGAAACCATTCACGTCATTTAATTACAGTAGAATATCGATAGGAGCAGTATAATTGGTCCGTACGTTTGCGTAGCATGGTGTTCCATCATTCATCCTGACCTTGAGCACGATTCCTGTCACGGCGTCCATACATTCCAGGGAACATGCGTAGGGTATCTTCAGTCAAACAGAACAATCATAAGCAAGCGAAGGCCACCGTAATAACCATGTCCACCATTTACCCCTTCTAAGAAACGCCAACGCATTCTAGCTTTCAATATAACGTGATTTGAAACTAATACTAATACTAATACTTTGTCTGTACCTAGTAGGGGTTACCCTACTGAGTGCAATTCAGGCCACGATTTTTGTTTTGCCATATTCGGTGATAAAGGGTGAAAGCTTTCATGATTACGTGATTAAATATTGCATGAGTCATTTTTTTGTGTTCATTTTTACGTTGGCGGAAAAACATAGTTATTGTAGTCACTGACTTCACGACAGTCTAAAAAAACGCATAATGTAGCGGGTCCCAGGTATCTTATTTATTTATTTATTTATTTGAGTACCACCAGGCCCGGTTTGATTTCGCTCTGCACTCAACGTAATTGCGGTCTTAACCGATAATAACGCCAAATAGCAAATTACAAAGCAATGCGCAAGAACATGATAATAAGTCACGTACTACGTTTCTTATGCGGTCAGTGACTACCAATGAGAATACCGATCAACCTTCATAACTAAACATCCGTGAAATTCCTGAGATTCTAAATGCACTCCCTTTTTTCTCTCTCTTTGTGCGTACCAAGGCAAGAAGTTGATTGGATGTCTGGAAGTTTTGCCGGCAATAGTCCAGGTAGGAGTCGTTTTTCAGGACGCAAACGTTGGATGCGCAAAACCTCTGCGGAGAAAAAAAAAAAAAAAAAAAACGCGCTTAGCGACGCTTGGACTTTGTTGTTGTCTCAGTGAAATAGTCAAACCTGGACTTTATGAAGCGAATAAGTGGCAAACAACGAACGAACTTCGCCTGGCGGCACGGTCGCGCTGCGGCGAACGGTAGCAACTGTTCTGATGCCACACGCAGAGCGAACTCCGCCAGGCAAAATTCGTCGCTTCCTCGCAGCACGTTAGCTCCATCTAGTTCAGCTTTTAGACCCAAATGATTAACGTCTTTTGGTTACTGCAAAGACGATTCCAGTGCAGAGAAACTATAAGACCTCTCCCGTACCTTGTTATTGTTTCCATTTCACTGCGGCGCAGAAAGTGCCCTACTGCACTCCGTTTCAACCTACGATAGACTAGGGCCCGAAGGTTAGACCCAAATGATTAACATTTCTTGGTTACTGCAAAGACCATTCCAGTGCAGAGAAACTATAAGAGTATACTCCCATATGGTGTTGTTTTGTTGTTTCCATTTCACTGCGGCGCAGAAAGTCCCCTACTGTACTCCGTTTCACCCTACGATGAACTAGAGCCCAAAGCTGAGACCCAAATGATTAGCAATTCTTAGTTATTGCAAAGACCATTCCAGTGCAGAGAAATTATAAGACTGCTCCCATATCTTGTTGTCGTTGTTTTCATTTCACTACGGCGCAGAAAGTCCCCTACTGTACTCCGTTTCACCCTATGATGGACAAAGGACCGAAGGTTAGACCCAATTGAAAAGTATAAACTACATTTAACAAAAGCATTACTTCCAAAAAATTGTTGCCCTTTGAATTAACGTCACACGAATTGACATCACGTGACGCCCGGTCACGTTATGTCATGGTATATTGACACCATGACTTCACGTCACGTCATGACGAATTACGTGACTTCAAATAATAAAGAATATGCTCTCCTGTACTTCTCGAAACGTCGATTTAATGTACTGTAAACAAATTTAGCCGATCAGTCCTTAAATACTGCACTTTATGCATTATACAAAACTTAAAAACAAAAATCGGTCGCATTTCTTTTTACCTGCGTTTTTTTTTTTTTTTTTTTTTTTTTGTGATGTATTTAGCTCTTGAACAAATTCGAAGAGCGGAATAAATTTTCTACGCTTTGTGTACGTCTGCACAGAATGCATGCACCTGAATGCGTTTCACCTGTTCGTGGTTGAGGATGCAGGGGGAGCCCCAGGGCTTGGCAGCGCTCCAGGTGTTGCCCGTGGCGCCCTGGCACTGCACCACGCACGGGTTGTTGCTGCCCACGCCGGGTCCCAGGCTGCCCCCGAGGTACTGCAACACGCTCTGCATGCCCCGTAGGGTAATAATCTATAGAACATAGGTCCCACGCATTCCTGCTGATTCAAAACGGCGGGGCATATACAGATGCGAACATCGATGGTCTATAGTAGAACATATGGCGACTCGAGGCGTCGCCATATGCCGATGGCGACGCCTCGAGTCGCAGTCGTACCGCCCTTACGCATCATACAAATGAAACTGGTCCGCTGCAGGCATGATGGCAGACTGGCAGAGGTATCTGCGGGCACGCCTGATCGAAGTACGCTCACTTCGTGTACGCTTCAAACGAGTCTAGGCCGATTCGTCGAAAGCCCATTCGTCGACGGACAACTGGTAGACGGATAATTCGTCGAATCGGGGAATTCGCATTAGGCAAATTCGTCGAACGGGAAACTTGTCGAAGCAACGCTTTCGCGTGAAAGATATTCGTCGAAAGAACTACGACAAAGTTGGAGTGATGTGCTTTTGAGCTATAGAAGGAAGCCTCACAATGATTCGCCGACCTGCAAATGCAAATGTGATTATCAACATTGAGAAAAAGAGCGACGATTTACAAACATATAAACTGCTTCTTCGGTGTAACCTTTTTGTAAATGCGTGACTAAATGAACTCGCTAAGAAATTATATAGGTCAAAAAGCATAATTGCAAGTGAGCCTTAGTTCTGTATACAAATTTTCTTTACGAAGTTGTAGAAAGAATAACTACGAAAAGAGGTCTTATTGTATTCTTGTAATAGCCGTGCCTTCGAGGTTGTTAGCCAACGTGCGGGAATGTAGTAGTTTAATACCGATGCGGTTTTTTTATATAAAACTATTTAACCACTTTACAAGTCTTTAGGCTACCATATCTGTAATTTAATCATCTCCAACGCTACATTTTTCAACTATATTTCAACGATCAATCCGAGCAAAACTCTATTCACTCAAGCCGTTCACGTACCGCAGCGCGTTGGTAGAACACGTGACACAGTCATCATTTTCTCGTGAACAATAGGCGGAAGCAAACAAGTCTCAATAATCCGCCCAGTGGCCGACCGCAAAACCAAAGACGTACCTTTGTCCCCGATCTTCGTACAAGCTTTACGGTGCGATTCTAGCGCAGCACGGCTTACGGCCTGCTTTGTATTGAAAGCAGTGTCCCAAGCGGAATTCCCTCAGGTATCTTCAGTCAGAACTCCACGTGCCTTACTTTACGTATCATGCAAGTGAAGCTTGAGATGCATTCGAGATCAAACTGCGGATTGTGCGGAAGTCTTAAACGCTTATCGAGAACTGGTAGGATTGTCGATAGATCTTCTAGACAGTCTCCGAAGGTCGCGCCAATAGAATTAAGAGATGTCCGCGCGTTACGGCCGCGGCGACCATTGTCTTTACGGTGTGAGCCGGAACACTGATCGCTTAATCTGACTTATAATCAGAAACGTTCGGCCATCTGGCCTGGTATTCCGAGTGTCTTCGTTAATTCAATTCAATGGGTCAAAGCGCTGACCTCTATTACATCATTTGGATAGAGCGCAAAGCGGCCTGTCGTGAGGTCTTTATCATAGCACAGCCTCTTACGTCACCTAGAATCGCGATGGAAAACAGGGCGAAACCCAAATTGCGAAGCTCCGTAGAGGGCGGGGCTGAGAACCACTTTCCGTAAAATAATATAAAGATTGGTGGGTTTCAACCGCCATCTCTGAATGGAGAGAGGAACCCAAGCTAGACCATTGCCGTGTCTCAGACGTTTCCTGTGATATGACGGAAGTCCTCGTCCTATTTACATCAAAGTTGTGCACCCTCACACGGCGTACGTACGTAATGAAACAAGTTACGAATCTGGACCAGTGTAACTGGAACACATATCGCGTTTGCTTTAATCAACCTGTTACCAAAAACCGCACGCGAAACGAAACAAAAATTACAAGGAGTATTTTTTCCCGCATTGCGCAGACGCAATGCAATTTTCCTTGAAGTAGCTTCGAAATTCTATTGTTGTTTCGTATCAAACACAAAAAAGAGTTTTTTTATCATTGTTTTGTGGTTACGGATGCAAGATCTTGGAAGAAACATCCCGAACAAAGTGAGAAATGTGCAAGCCGCCGAAGATCATCCCGCTGGAAAACTCTAGTGAAGCGAATGACTTGTTCGCCACATCTTCGGGCTCACGCGAGAGCTAACCTATTTATGACACTTCAGCTTCCATTACGAGGTTTCTCTAAACATCCAGCAAGGAGTAGGCGGCATCAATAAGCAATGAGTTCACGCTGAAGCTGTCGACTCGAGTTTGCACTTATAGTGTTGTAGCATATTTTTCACCTTTGACGACGAGATACCAATGCTGCTGCTAGACCTGTACAGGGGATAGCCTTGCTCTCCTGGCATACTCCGGGAGCAAACCTCGGCGTCGGATATGAAGATGGGCACGGCACCTGTTCCTGGGTTGCCAGGAGCCTGGGCTTGAACTGGGTCAAGGGAAAAAAATAACGCCTTTGGCTTCCTAGTCTTTCCGACGTTATCCACCTTCGTTCACTTATTCGGTACAAGCGATATATTTATTTTATTCTAATGTTTAATTGAAAGAGTTATTTTCTTAATGTACATAACGAAATATTAAAGATGATATATGTCAAAGCTGCCTGGTAAGTGACATTAATAAAAAGTCAGTACAGATTGCAACCTGCCGTGACCACAGTACGTAGGAGCTCTATGTTCTACGTAGCGAGAACTTTGGCGTAAACGATGGTTTCAAGCCTGATATTATCTTCTCTGGTTGCTTTCCATGATCATGAAAAAGCATGGCTTTGTTTCGTAGCCAATGACCGACTACTAAACGAAATAGAAAGACATTTTAAAAGGCGTCACTTTGACTGCCAGTTTGATTGCTGGCATTTGTATTAAATACTTGACACCACATTAGACAGCCGAGTTTTCTCGTTTTAGTTTTCAATTAGTTATAACATATATGAATTGATTTTAAAATATTTCGTTCTAAACATAAAGAAGTAATTACTTTCAGCAAAGTTTTGGCGTCAGGTATTTTTGATGAAATTTAAACTTGTAACAATAAGTTATCTCATGTAATACTTTTTTATAACTATATGATTCCATGCAATGTGTCCATGAACATAATAAAAAATACAGTTTGAGCGATAGCTATGTAACTATAGTGTGTCATTTAAAATTTAAAAATTAGGCATATTTCACATGGATGCCATATATAAAACCCGATATTTAAAGAGCAGTAGATGGTTAATAGAACGTTAACGAATTCCCCAATTTTAGCGGAAGAAACCTTTTTCTGGAAACCTGTCAATTTATTAAAAATTGGCCGGTTTCAATTTATTCAAAACTGACAGGTTTATTAAAAATTGACAAGACAAATTATATATTTTTTTTAATTTTACATTTAAATTAGTTATAATCTTTGCAAAGACTTCCATGGAAATAATTAAAATAAAATAAATGATCAGTAGGCGGTACGAACACAGTGCACCAGCTGAAAAAAAGCAACCCCTCTTGATTCGTTTAGATAGACCAAAACATCCTCATGTTCGTGACCCCGAGAAACGGCTGTAGAACCGCCATTGTGCGTCGACACAGACCGAATTTCCAAAAATAGCCACCGCTGAGAGTTTATCTGAACCCGCCAAGCGAGGGCATATGTTTCCTAAAGATTCTCCAGCCAGCCGTGCCACGGATTAGCGAGAGGCTATCCACTCCGTTTCACCGTACCACGAACCGCGGCGGAGGCTACGAGCCACTGGAGCCAATCCAGAGCGCAGAACATGTCACGTGACCTCCTGTTTGGGTGGAGTGACGCGCGGAGCGTGACGTCACGGAGCAAGAGAGAAACGCCGGATTGGATGAGATGACCACAGCGGTTCCGCTGTGGTCCGACGTAAGGTAAAACGGAGTATACCTCCTTCCGGGTTCCAGATTGTATGAAAAAAAAAAAAAGAATAAGAAAAAGAAAGATAAGAGAAACAAAGTGACCGGCTTTGTTTTACAAATTCACCGGTGGATATTTAGCGCATTGGAGATTGCACGCGCTCAATCGAGCAATTGCTGTTTGACCCCGAGACCCAAGAAGTGCTTTCAGAAACACAGCAAAGGCCGACTGTTCGCCACCTCCCAAGTTCGTACCTCCACGATCGTGGACTGCACGGGAGGTATAAAACAAATTGGGAACAGGTTTTCCTTTTTTATTATTATTTATTTTCACTTGGACGCGTAATGAACCGCGTGGGAAGCAGTGAGGGTGGAAAGCGAAAACTTCACTCCTTCCGCGTGGTACTATATTATTTTTCTTGGCATCTACGTGCAGTACTGAGGAAGCTGGGGTGTAGGTCCAGGCACCACGCAGGACAGTATATCAAAATGACGTATTGTCCTATAGCAACTGCTTGCCGTGAAGGCGAAGTCGATTCGTGCAGGAAACGCGCCGCTTCAGCCGTCCGGGTCAACTCGTGTTTGTTTTTTTATGTTATTTATTTGTACCTTGACAAAAGGAGTGTTTTCTTATGCCATTCGTATTTTAAGAATCGAGGTGAAACAACACGTGATCGTGCAAATCTGCGAGAGCTCTCCGTCACGTTAAAAGCGGGAATATACCGACCCATGTTCTTCAGTCACGCTTGGGGTGAACTATACATAAATCGCCTTCATAATTAGTCAGACTATTGAAGTTATACCACCCAATTTAATGTAGGGTCAAATAATCTAGTAATCTGATCGGTTGCTTCAAGATCGGCAGTTACTGAGACGTTTTGTTAAATTACACAACTAACAAGGATAATGTCGGGACGTTGGTACACACGCTGCATGCATGTGCTCCCCTCATGTCTTTAAAAGATTCGAAGTAAATAACCAAATTAAGCCGTTGACGACTTCACGCGCAAAGTGGTATTTGCAAGTAAGGTTAAGGCACAGGTGAGCTGGTAAATATTAAGCAACATAATAAAACTGTAGACACAGAAAACAAGAAGGACACGAGGAACACCGTCTCAGGCACAGCTAAAAAGTT